ATGATTTCATTAAACTTGAATCTTCACTACATGGATGCTTCCACACGAGTTTCATCTTTTCTGGCCCAGTGTTTCTTGAGAAGAAGATTTTTAAAGATTTTTCCTACGTATTCCTGTTAAACTTCGATACCCCATCGCGGCCCCATCCTTCCCCTGGGGGTCATAATTTGAATAAACTTAAATATACACTACATGTGCATATGAGGATGCCCGGTTGTTCTTGAGAAGAAGATTTTTAAAATATGCCATTAATTTTTCACTAATTCATAATTCTCTCCCCTCTGAAAAGGGTGTGGCCCTACATTTGAACAAACTTAAATCCCCTTCACCCTGGGATACTTTGTGGCAAGTTTGGTTAAAACTGGCCCAGTGGTTCTTGACAACAACGACGACGATGACAGCTAGACAACGGACAAACTTTGATCAGAAAAGCTCACTTGAGCCTTTGGCTCGGGTGAGCTGAAAAGCAAAAAATGGAATTATAAATAGTACCTCGAACATATAAAACTTTAAAAAGGTTAAAACTAGTAATTATTTTAGATGATTTTGTCGTAAGGCAAATTTTACATTGAGCCGCTCATATCTTTCAAGTGCTACATGTACGAACGTGTGCCTAAAAATACATCAACTGTAAAATTAGATATTGGGGTTTTTTTTTAAATCGTTTTTATGCATCGAGATTTAGATCAGCAGGATTTTTAAATCTGCATAATTCATAATTAAGGTTTGTTTACTTTTTGTTCTCATTTTGCGCTAGATTACATATTTACGATTGACAGAATGATTATTATAATTATTTACTCTTATGTGTATATTAATAAATATGCATTTCTGAAATTAATTTATATATCGTACTCTGCTCATTATTATATAGTCTTCAAGTGCCTTCGAATTCGACAGAGATGAAGTTTTACATTTTCTAAAAGAACAACGACTTTGATCTCTCAAGTTAATCCTTGGAAAATATATATTGAGATGCAATAAATGTATGCATGTTACATGGTTATGATATTGTAAACAATCATAGAAGTCTATTTTTAGTTACCAATTTCCCCAAATATTTACAGCTGTATTTTTAGAATTGGCCTTTTTTTAGTGAATAAAATATCATAAATCGACTGCTGGACGTTAAAATTTATCTATTTCCCATTGTGATTTAATACTGATTGATGCATGTACACATATGTTGTTTTTTTAGGTTTTTTGTTTTGTCTTGGTATTTTGTTTGTTTGTTTGTTTTGTTTTGTTTTGTTTTTGGTTTGTTTTTTTCCTAAATAATAGAATTCATTTGTCGTTAATTTTAATTTTAAGAAATAAATAATCAAATAGGTCTATAGTGTCTGTAAATGATTATGATCTGTATCATATACGTGTATATAATTAAGGTATACATGCATGTACAGTCTACTTACAAGTGCGAAGGTGTTTATTTCACATCCATATTAGCTGCAGAACTATAGCTCTCCGAAAAATATTTTGATAGACCGGAGAGCTACAGTGCCACCCATTGTAAAAACTGTATATTTATTGCGCACAAAATTTTGCGCTTGTGTATGGATTAATTCTTCCAAATTCTTACCTCAATTGCAAAAAATTTAGATTTCAAAAAATTTCGTATTCTTCTATCAAGTACTTTAATTCGTAGTTGACATCTACACGAAGCGCACAAACTTACAAACCAAAGTGACAGTATAAACAGACGAACCTTTCGATGATCTCGATTTCAGGGCCAGGAGGACTATAAACAATAACTATAGGGTACAATGTATGTTTTGTTGTGGAAACAGTGAAAGATTATGTTAGGAATACACTGCTAGTAATATTTTGAGATTATATATTTAAAAACATGGAGAAATAAATCGATAAACAGCGCACTTTTTTGTGCGCAATCAATATACAGTTTTTTCAATGGGTGGCACTGTAGCTCTCCGGTCTGTAATTTTATTTTTTCGGAGATATACAGATCTGCAGCTATACATCCATATTAGAATCTGTTTATAAGTAAAAAATTTTCTCTCATTTTTAGGAATTCAAAGTTTCTGCATAACCATGATTAAAGCCATGATTAATCTCGTCGGTAGACAAGCATCTTTGCAAGCTTCAACAACATCACCGACGACGTCAATCCTTTTGACCACCCTTTTTGAAAACATTACCAAGAATGCCTCTCTAGAAGGATTAGAAATGAACTTCACAGAAGAATCAACAGACATTAACTGGATACCTATATTAGTAACAAGTCTGGTACTCTTAGTTTGTTTAATGCTCGTTGTATTTTTCATAAAGCTTGTCAGAAGACATAAAAAGTCAAACAAACGAGATAAAAATGAAATGGGGCCAAAAATTCCCGACGAAGATGCCGAAAGTGATGCATCTACATCAGTCATGGACAATCCTCCGAAAAGTTGTACGTCAGAAGACTGTGGACTAAACACAAGCACGCACCCGCTGCTTTCAAAGGGTGACGCAGAATTAAAATTCGAGATAGAGGACAGTAAAAGTCAAACAGAGACTTGATTATATTATACACGCTTTCCGATATCAGTCAAAACGATATCACAGAGAATATGTAGATATTATGTATATATACAATACTGTAGAAGCGCCGGCTTCTTCGGAAACATGCTACCGAAACCTTCGAAATCAGAGCCTTGTTGCAATTGGATATCATCAGTCTGGACACATCTCTTTCTAATAATAAGACGTTCTTAAGATCCAAAAAACTCTAGCTCAATCATGGAAGCAAAGAAAGGATTTTTTTTTACAAATACCTCTAAATCTTTAAATTTACCACAAATACTCTTGAGGGAGATTTGCTTTTAATATAATGATACATGTGTATTGTACATTTCTGGTGTATGGAAGGGCAATGTATGCGGACTGAGGAATTCATACAACTTTAAGATGACAATTATAGCTGAGACTTTTTAAAGAAAAAATTCCCATGCAATTAAGGCGATTTTGTAAATAGAATTTTCGTTAATCTGGGAAGATACATATACATCGAAGCAATTCCAAGGAGGAGACATGTATAGCTTCTTCCAAATGCATCGTCGCAAACCACAGCCAAATGTACTGCAGACTTGGAACCGTGTGACTTCGGTTGAGACGATGATGTATATGTGCATGGACAAACTGAAAATAACCTTTTATATGAGTTGAGAAAATAAACACTGGTTAACAATATATATATATATACTCTTAAATGTACAGTGTAAAATGTTAATTATTAATTAATTTATTTCACAAATATGATGTTAGCATTTTTTGTATTGCAAATACAAAATCTGGAAGATTCTAAACCTGCTATGATTGTCTGAAAAAATCATATATACTTATTCACATGTGTAAAAGATTGAATTTTTAATGTTAATGTACATATCTTTTGTTTGAAAAGGCTATGAAAAGAATTTAGTAAGTTGAATAACTTTGTATCCAATGGTGTATCTATTAATTTGTATATTATAAATTAATATAATTTTGCGAATAAACTCCAAAACGGCTGCACCAGAGTTCATTACTTTCTCCTCTCTCAATAGAGCTTTTTTTGTTGATAAAATCTAACAGTAGTCAAAATCAAACAAATCCTACGCATCTCCTCCCTCCTGATAACGGATAGAGTGAGAGAGAGAGTGGAGGGGGTGAGAAGGAGTGGGGGATATACATGGGAGGTAGAAGGAGATGGGAAAGTAAGTGAGAAAAAGAAAGAGTGATGAGTATAAGAAGATAGAGAGAGGAACATTTATTAAGAAAGAATGGAGAGTGATCCATGAGACAAAGTGGGGAGTACGAGAGAGTGAGGAGAGAGAAAATGGAGAGAGGATGAGTTATTTAAATTGGTGGTGAGACAGCTAGGAGATAGAGAGAATGTGCTGTGTGAGACAGAAGTGATGGGAATAGTAAGAGAGCCAGATGGAATCTAGTGCAGAAATTGGGGAGAAGAAGGAGAGAATGTAGTAAGAGAAAAATTTAGTGAGAGAGAGAGAAAGAGAGAGACGGGGATAGGGAATGAGTAATTTAAGGTAATTGATATATATTTTAGGAGCTTAATTGATAGCAATATATCTAACTTGGAATATGCAATGTAAACATGGTAACATGTATAAGAGAATAGATATACCATCACTGCAGTGCCCTCTTCCACGTAAAGATTTAACAGTGAGGAATATTTTTGGATTTAAAAACTGAAGTTGCTCCCCTTAATCATGTTAATTTCCGATGCCTCACCAATTATTTACAATGGGGGATCCATGCAGGAACCTGAAAAGGGGGCCCGTTTGAGGTCGGGATAGGCCCCCCAGTTACACAAAAAAACTGATTTTTTTTGTTGTTGTTTATTTGGACACAAAAGGGGGAGGCGTTCCCTTTAGCTAGGCCCACAGGTGCTCGTGGACAGGATTATCCCTACCCCCCTTTACCTTTCAATATTAAAAAAAATATATATATGCGAGAAACGACTGTGAATAGAAATAGCATATGATTGATATATTTATGTGTTTTTCAAATAGAAACATATAGATTAAATTGTCAGAGATTAGAAATGGAGAAAAAAAATCAAATTTTTTTTTTAATATTGAAAGGTTGGGGGGGGGGGGGGGCTAGGGATAATCCTGTCCACGAGAACCTGTGGCTAGCCCCCCATCTAAATCCGCAAGTGTTCGACTACGTGTCTGTATACCACGCACTTGTTTAGGACATAAGGACTTAAATTTTTAACCCATAATCTATTAATAAAACAAGTGTTATTATTCACGGGCACCTGACGTTACTTATTTTTCTTTTAATTAAAAAAAATATACACATACCTGATTATTAGGTATGTGTATATATTTTTTTTATTAAAAGAAAAATAAGTAACGTCAGGTGCCTGTGTTATTATTATATTATGGGTAAAAAAAAAATATTTCCGAAACAAGTGCCTGTGCACGCTGCACAAGGTGACCGGATTGGTATCGTCCATAACGTCTGTTTTTCTCTTTTAGAATGATAAATGCCCGTATTTGAAAACAAAAGCCATGCGAGCCCAGCTAGGCTAACACTGGTCAGGTTAATATTGGACTATGCAGAGGTCATGACCAAATGTACACCTAAACAGACACGTTTTAACAAGGATTAAACAATTTAAGTAAGGCCATTTTACTTATTAACCATGAGTAATTCAGTCATTAGATTTCGTACGGGTGAAATGACGGTGGCGCTGTGTCTACATCTGTACCAGTGTACATGTCATGTATGATGATTTATTATAGGCCTTGTCTCGATCATTCATTTTCCACTAAATCACTAAATGTACATTTTGAAGATAAATTCTGTTTATGATAGGGTAACGGTTTGCACCTTGGATATCGGCTGTTCAGTAGGTAGACCAAGAGAATAGTGTCAGATTCAGAAGTCCTGGGATCAATTCCTGGTTTAGCCATCATTTTCTCCTCGCTTGTTACATTTGGTGCTTTTTCATGCTCCTGACGTGACATATAGAAGACCGCCCATGGAAGAGCCTTTTGTTGCCTTTGAAGACCTGTAAGAAGTGAGAAAGGGATGTATTGCCGGATGCAGCATTCTGCATGTGGTCAGGCAGGTTAGAATGCCAGTGGTCAGATACTTCCATGTCAACCAGTCTGTGGCCACCATCAGTCAATGATGATACTGCCACCTCTGCAGGCATTTAAATTTTAAGATAAAATTTAGTGCTTTACAGTTCCGTTGTTCAGGCATGGGCACCTCTCGGGCCCATGTGGTAATTATTTTAAGCACCTGACTGGAGATTCAGGGGTCTCGGTGTATGAAATTATCATTTCAAAAGACATTGGTGTAACTGAAAAGGTGTCAAATGACAGTTAAAACTTTATATTTTTTTCATTGCAGCATGGACTTGTTATCACAAGATGAAAGAAAAGTACAGGCAGTTGTTGAGGAAAACACAGAGGATGTTAATCCAAAAAGAGGACGTGGACGCCCCCGCAAGATGGACAAGCCTGAGAAAATCAAAGCACCTGGCAGAGGGCCTGGACATCCTCCCAAAATTGACAGTCCAGAGAAGCTAGCTAATATAACAACCGAATCAGATGATGTATACAAAGAAGAGAAATCTGATGAAGGGGTTCAACAGAATGGCAGAGGTCGTGGACGTCCTCCAAAATGTAACACAGAAAGAAGGTGAAGTAAAATTAAAGTTTTAAGAGCATGAACATAGCTATTAAATGTTGAAATGTTAATTGAAAGCCCCCCCCCCAGTTTTTGTTGCATTAGAGTCAAATAGGAGTAATGTAGAAGTGCATGAATAAGACTTTGTACTTAAAGAAGTTTGAACCAAGATATAATGCTCTTCATACATGTCATATCACTTTTCTGTGATTAAAAAAAAAAAAAAAACAAGGTCGTAAATTGGTTTTTAATGGTGATGGATGATGACGCCATAAAATGTAGATAAAATATCTGAATAAAACCAGAGGGAAAACTTCAAAAGTGCATATACAGTCAATTCTCGAATTATCGCCATTCGATTCATCGCCATTTTCGCAATACCGCCATGATTTCCCAAGAACGTTTTTCCTGCTATATAAAATTCTCTTTATAATGCCAAATTCGCATACCGCCATCCGCCACCCTGTTTTCACAACAAACGTCCATTTTTAAGTGTCAATTATCTCGATATACCGCCACAGGTGCGTGAGGTCAGTGAAGCGCGGCTAATTGGTTGACACTATCCCGTTGTAAAGCATGCAAAGGCAGGCAAGGTACATGCAATTAAGTAATTCAACAAGAACTAAATAAACAAGAATTTTAACATGAACTGTTATAATAATTTTGTTTTCCGTTTAATAAAATTCATTTAGTCACGGCTTTGCCACGAAAGCGGTTGTTGTTCAAGAACGTCAATAACTATATTATGTAGATGATCTCTGCTTTAAACAATGCAAAGTTTGCTGAAAAAATAATTCTACGGTATAAATTGTGAGTGTTTAATTAACAATGTTGCCATAAATTATACATTTATTGAAGAATTCATTTTACTTACTATCGGCAATATATCATGACGATCGACCCCGCGTGTTTTTTTTTTTTAATAGCAGAACTGCAGATTTACATGCACACCCATATACGTGTCTTTATTTTATAACTGCACATATTGTTTAAGCGAATTTGTACATTATAAAATTACCTGAAGTATTTTCAATCAGAAATATGTTTTTATATACATGTACGTAATAATAAGAATAGAAACGCTAAATGGTATTTCTAAGAACGGTAACTCTACTTCTTGTTTTCCAGAAGATGGGAAATTCAATTCATCGCCAAATTCGTTATACCGCCATGATTTCTAAATTACAAAAGGTGGCGGTTTATCGAGAATTAACTGTACAAGATAAATGTATGTAAGATATAAGATATCTGTAAACAAGATGTGTTTGTGAAACACTATGCGCATGGCGGCAACAAAGTTCGGAAAAAGCTATTTCTAGCATTAAGGTCACAGTCAAGGTCACAAGCTCATTGACCTTGGTGTCATTTGGAAGAACCTAATTAGTGGAGTTTGCATACCAGATATGAAGTCTCTATCTTCTATGGTTCAAAAGATATGGCGAAGGTTAAAGTTTGCAGGAAAAAAGCTATTTTTAGCATATAGGCCACATTCAAGGTCACAAGGTCATTGACCTTGGTGTCATTTGAAAGAGCTTAATTAGTGGAGTATGCATACCAAATATGAAGGTCTCTATCTTTCATTGTTCAAAAGTTATGATGAAGGTTAAAGTTCGGGACAAACAAATAAACAGACAGACAGACAGGACAGAAACAATATACGCCCTTGATCTATCGATCTGGGTGCATAAAAATGTTAAAATTGCAGTATGGGCCTGAAGTTGTTAGAGGAAGAAAAAGAAGAATCAACAGAAGAAATGGAGAGGGACTTAAAACTAAAGAAAAGTAGAGGACGTCCTCCAAAAACGAACAGGGAGCCAGAAAAAATCAAAGTACGAGGCAGAGGGCGTGGGCGCCCGCCAAAATCTACAACATCAAATAGGTGTGTAATAATGAGATTTATGTAAAATAAATGATCTTAATTTGTCTAATCAACTAAGATTCTGATATATATACCTGTAAATAAAAATGGGAAGTCTGTATGCTTTAATTAAATTAAATTGGCAGTCTAAACATGACATCAGCAGCAAATGATTCAGAGGATGAAGTCATTCCAAGTAGCAGAAGTCCTTCTAACAGTCACTCACCAAGCAGGTCTGATACAGTTTATGTACATATAGAGAGAATGTGTGTAAATGCTTGGTTCAGTGAACATCGTTATAAGTCAACGTATTTCCTACGTAGCTTGTAACACAAGCTTTGATTGGTTACAGAGTCTGGTGTAAATTTCTGTGCACCCAACTTTTGTGTGTGTTGGGGGGGGGGGGGGTTAAATAAAACGTGACGTCACAATGCATACTTTCTCTATGATAAAAGCCAAATAGCATGACATCATGATGCACTGTAGTATGTATTTATCTTATCGATAGACTTAGACACAGTTGATTAGACTCTGATGTTAAAAAGAATTTTTTATGGGTACATAGGAAATAAATTTGTTATCCAGGTCCAATCAAGGGTGTACAGGGATTTCCACGGGTTGTATTTCATACACCCTTCGGCCTCAGGGTGTATGAAATGAAACCCGGGGTAAATCCCCGTACTCCGTTGATTGAACCTGGATAACTAACATTATCCCATTGAGTGTGTGTACAGATATTTTTGAGAAGTGACATACTTGTCTATCCAAAGACTAAGAAATGTGTCCTTTATCATCATTCTCCTTTGAATAAAATTATATTTTATAGCATGTTATTGCCAACAATTAATAAACAAGAATCACCAGAGGAAGAGAAAGAAGAGGGGGAGATGAGCGTTAATCCAAAAAGAGGTAGAGGACGTCCCCCCAAAATGGACAAAAAGCCAGAAGTTATAAGAGTACCTGGCAGAGGGCGTGGCCGTCCCCCCAAATCTGCAAAGGATTCTTTGAACAGGTAACATAAAATTTTTGAATGTACAAATATAAAAACATATACAAAATACTTCAATGTACTTGTATACCATATAAGCAGAATTTTTAAAAAGGATTCAATTTTGGCATTATCAATATCAAGGATTCTGATTGCTAAAATTGGATATTGCTAACAATTTATTCTGTATTGGTTGTAATAGTTATCTCTCTTGATATTATAAATCTGTTAAAACTACTTCTCGCTAAAAATAATAAACACCATTTTTTTGATAAATCACTCAATATCCGTCTCGCTAATGTTTTGTTCAATTAAACAAAGCAAGAATTTGGAGAATTGTTTACAGTTATTATTTATTAAGTTCTTTGAAAAAAATAAACATAACATAGAATTTTGTTGAGATGAAGTTTAAAATGTTATTGCAGCATAAATTTGTTATCACCAACGAAAAAGGATGTGGGATTAGAAGAATTGGAGGAAGTGGATGAGGAGGGCAGTCAGATAAAGAGAAGTCGTGGACGTCCCCGAAAAACGGACAAGAAGCCAAAGAAGATAACAGTACACGGCAGGGGCAGAGGACGTCCCCCAAAAACTGAAAAGTCAAATAGGTATGAGAAACCCCAAGTTGACAGGTCATTGACTAAAAGATGTGGTATAAAAAAGACCGAAAAGTAAATGCTAATTCTTACAAAAATTCGTTTTCTAATCTTTTATATTTTGATGCATGCTCTGCAATAAAAAGTCTTATTTTCATGGAAGGAATAAAGAAAAAAGTGGGGCATCTGATGAGGTAGAACTGAAGGAATATGAAGCAATTGAGGACTCTGAGGAGGGAAATCTGTCTCACAGGAAAAGGGGAAGACCTCGCTCAGTGGACAAAGTGTCACGCAGTCGAAGGAAAAGTCCATTAAATTCAGCTGCAAATAGCAAAGGTACTGTTTACATTTTATATTTTTCCCCATCACTTTTTTAAGACTGGGAATATTACTGATGTTCCTTGTTATTAGGTCACCTGAGTAAACTCAGGTGACCTATTGCTATCTGTTTTCGTCCGTCGTCGTGCGTCGTTCGTCGTGCGTTAACATTTGAACATTTTTAGCTTCTTCTCTGAAACCACTGAACCAATTTCAACCAAATTTGGCATATAGCATCTATGGGTAAAGGGGAACAAAAATTATGAATTTCATGGTCTCTGCCCCCTGGGGCCTGGGGGGTGGGGCAAAAACCACTAAAATTAGTGAAATCTTTAAAAATCTTCTTCTTTACTCCTGGACATAAAGCAGTCAAACTGTTGGTATGATTGTAATCAGCATTGAGTCCTCTACCAAAATTGTGAAATTCATGGCCCCAGGGTCAGGGGTTCTAGTGCTAGGGCGGGGCTAAACAGGTTATATAGTGAAAATGCATTATTTCTTAGAAATTCTTCTTTTCTGCTCCTGGGCATTAAATAAACTAACCAAGTGCATAGGTAAGTTGAAAATGACCGCCTCTTCCAAAATTATGAATTTCATGGCCCCAGGGTCAGGGGTTCTAGTGCTAGGGCGGGGCTATATAGATTAAATAGTGAAAATGCATAAATTCTTTAAAATTCTTCTTTTCTGTTTATGGGGATTAAATAAACTAACCAAGTGCATAGTTATGTTGAATAAGACTGCCTCTTCTCAAATTATGAATTTAATGGCCCCAAGGTCAGGGGTTCTAGTGCTATGATGGGGCTATATAGATTATATAGTGAAAATGCATATACTCTTTTGAAATTCTTCTTCTCTGGTCATGGGCATTAAATAACCTAACCAAGTGCATAGTTATGTTGAATAAGACTGCCTCTTCTCAAATTATGAATTTAATGGTCCCAGGGTCAGGGGTTCTAGTGGTAGGGTGGGGCTATATAGATTATATAGTGAAAATGCATAAATTCTTTAAAATTCTTCTTTTCTGTTTATGGGTATTAAATAAATTGACCAAGTGCATAGTCATGTTGAATAAAGCTGCCTCTTCCAAAATTGTGAATTTCATGGCCCCAGGGTCAGGGGTTCTAGTGCTAGGGCAGGGCTATATAGATTATATAGTAAAAAATGAATTATTTCTTTGAAAATCTTCTTCTTTGCTCCTGAGTATTAAATAAACTAACCAAGTACATAGTTATGTTGAATGAGGCTACCTCTTTCAAAATTTTGAATTTCACGGCCCCTGGGTTGGGGGTTCTGGTGTTAGGACGGGGCTTTATTAATTATATAGTGAAAATGCATAAATTCTTGAAAACTCTTCTTTTCTGCACCTGAGTATTTAACCAATGAACTATGCACATAGTTATAAGGAGGAAGGATGCCTCTTTGAGATTTTTGAATTTCAGGGTCCCTGGGTTAGGGCTTCTTGTGTTAGGGCAGTGTTCTAATGTTTATATAGTGAAAATGCATGAATTTTTTGAAAATCTTTTCCTTTGTTGTTGGGTATAATGCCAGTGATCTTAGAATATATTTATGACAAAAAAACCTGCTTCTTCCAAAAATGGTTAATTTCCTGGCCCGTGGGACAGAGGTACTTGGAG